TATTATTATTATTATTATTGATGATGATATTATCACTGATGATATTATGACAATCTATTGCACTTAGGGCACGACCGACTACTCACCGCAGACCACATCCATGCGTGCCATCATCGCCTTTTTCTGGTTCTGCATGCTCATCATCGAGGCCGCTTACACGGCCAATCTGGCAGCCTACCTCACCCTGCAGCAGATAGACGACCGGATCAAAACCGTGCACGACCTGGCCGGCCAGACACAGCTCAAGTACGGCCTGGAGAGAGGGAGTGACGTCATGCACTATTTCAAGGTTGGTTATAAAATATTATTGCTTTTTTTTCTCTTCTTCCGTTTTAAACCTTGAGATTGTTTGTATTACTAATTGTTTGTAAATTATAGTAGTAGTAGTTGTTGTAGTGGTAGTCGTCGTCGTCGTCGTCGTCGTCGTCGTCGTCGTAGTAGTAGTAGTAGTAGTAGTAGTAGTAGTAGTAGTAGTAGTAGTAGTAGTGATAGTAGTGGTATCAGTAGTCGTAATAGTAGCAGTTGTTGTAGTGGTGAAGGTAAAACAGACAGACAGAAACACGCGCGCGCGCGTGCACTCACTCATCTTCTATCGTTGTCAGTTTCGACTTAAGTTATAATATACTTTTGCAACACGTTCGCATTAAATTAGACATGAGCCGCAAAATTGTTATCAAAGGGGGATAACCAAGAAAAACAACAGGAGAAATATTATTACATGACTTTTCTCCTTTAGTCACACGCTACCCATTGTAACTTTTGTTCAAAGAATAAATCGTCGGCGAGCAGTTTATATAGAAATATAGGCCCAACTAATCCCAGAAAACAAAACTTTTCAGGGGACAGAAAAACTGTTTCATTGTACCAAAAAAAAACACAAAATTGTACCCACATTATGTATTGTTTATTGATCATTTTTCTCTATATTATTATATAGAATTTGAGTTTCGACAAAATATTGCTGGAGCACACCCACACTCTATGTACTAGTACAGCACTTCAACGTTACTGTGTACTCTCTCACCTCCCCCCCAAAAAAAAACAACAACACCGCTCCCCTAAACAGACTCAACGAGAAGACCCATACGAACGTATGTGGGCCTTTATGAAACTCCACGAGAAAGACTCTCTCCTGACTAACACCACTGAGGTCATCGCAAAGGTCAAGAAGGGCAAACTGGCTTTCATCTCTGATGGCGTCACCAATGGCTACTACGCCAACCAGCACTGCGGGATTGAATCAATTGAGCAGAACTTTGGCAGCAAAGATTTCAGTCTTGGATTTCCGAGAGGTGACCACTTTTTACTTTTCTCGTTGTTTTGGGTTCTCTCTCATTGTCATTGTTATTGTGCCCC